GGTAAAAGTCTACTATTTTGCTACTAAAAACATGTGTTGTTGGAATTGAGTGTCTTTTGGCGACTAATTATGTGTTAGTCGTTAAAATGTGACATTTTGGGCGACTAAATATGATTTTGGTCGCTAATTGCACAGTATTTACAAATTGTAAATTTGTTTTATTGGTATTCATTTATTTTTTCGCTACTACTTGTGTGTTAGTCGCGCAAAACAAGGGTTTAGGTGACTATCTCAATTTTTGTCGCTAAATCTGAAAGGTTTACCGACTGTAATTTAGTAGCCAAAACGTGGCACGAAATTATGGAGGGAATATTTAATTTTTTATAAATATATTAGCGACTAAAATAAAATTTGGTCGGGAATAAATATTTTTTTGTTTTATTTTTATTGCAATAGAACTCCATTTCCCTCCCTCTCGCACTCCTGCCTCTGTCACTGCTCTGTCTCCATCGCCATCACCGCAAGGCTTGTGGATCATTACTTTGTCTCCCTCCCAGGTATGTCTTCTATTTCGCCTCTCTCTCTCTTTCTCTCTCTCTCTCTGTATCTCCCTCTCGATTTCTGTCTCATTCTCTGTATGGCCTCTCGGTTTCCCTCTTTTTCTCTCTCGCTGTTTACACACATACATGCATATATATACATGTATATATACACACATACAAATCATATATACACAACCTTGATCCCATATATAATCGATTATACACTGTTTCCCTCTTCTCTATAGCTGTCTCCATCGCCATCACCATCATCGCAAGGGTTGCGGGATCATTGGGAAGTCTCCCTCCCAGGTATGTCCTCTATTCCGCATGTGTCTCTCCCTCTCTCTGAGATACGTATCTCCCTCTTGATTTATCTGTCTCCTTCTCTCTTTCTCTGTCCCTGTTTACACACACACACACACACACACATACATACATATATATATATATATATATATATACACACACAGAAATCATATAGGAAATGCTGAAAATTAGGGCATTGTTAATGAAGTTTAAAATTAGGGCAATTCTTGGGCTAAGATGTTATTGAATTTAGAACTGAGATGTTTAATGATGTATAATGGGTTTTTATTGTAGGACTTGCCATATCTATTTGAGTGTCAATCCTTACAATTTGAGGCTGCCAACAACTATAATACTCTGCCATTTAAAGCCTCAAGTTTCATAATCTGTTAAATTCATTGAATTTTTCTACTTTTAATTTGTCAAATTCCCATCATTTACCACTGAGATGTTAATTTTTTTTTCATATATTAATTGAAGTATGGTAACTGATGGGTTTACTTGTAACTGATGTGGATGTGGATATGGATGTGGATGTGGATGTGGCTAGGGTTGTGGTGGAGGAGATTGAGTATATCTATATTGCAATTTTAGCTTCTGTGTTTGGATGTTGTTTAATTCAATTTTAGCTAAATGGGTAAAATCTTGTGCTGATTATGATGTGGCTCAATCTTATAGTCCATTGGCCTCTTTTGATCATAAAACATTATCGAAAATTCTAGTATAATGTGAGTATATTTATTAAATTAGCTAACGAAATGCTAAAAATTCTAGTATAATGTGAGTATATTTATTAAATTAGCTAACGAAATGCTATTTCATTTTTGGTAGGAAACATTTTATTGTTCAAACCAGCTTGTCAGTTCCAGTTCCAGCATCAATAATTCCATCAGCAACTGCAGAGAACTCTTCACAACTGCAGGTAACTTTTTCCTCTCTCTCTCTCTCTCTCTCTCTCTCTCTCTCTCTCTCTAGAAATTGTTTTCAATCTCTCATTTACTCAGATTTTATTCTTTGAGTAGCAACGAAAGGACATCAATGAATTTCTTGCAACATAATTATGACTAGACTGTATTCAGCATAAGTCGGATAGGAACCTTTGTTGATTTGATCATCTCCATCATAGAACGAGTAGCAATAATTGACAGTATATTAAGTTCTCAGTAGATGATAATTATTTGTGAGAGTATTACTTCTTAGTTTGATTATGAATGTTGAATTAAATATAAACTATAAAGACCATAAGGTATTGAAAAGAAGAATAATAACATTCAATTTTATACGTATTTCGACAAAACATTTGCTGCTTTAAGTTTTGGATTACTTTCTTTTTTTGTTTCACTTGGTTGAGAAAACACCATGCTTTGAACATTTTGCTTATTTGAAATGGGAAACCATGTCTGTGTTGTTACCTTGTGTTTAACAAATTGAATTAAGCTTCCATGTGACAATTTCTTTCCTACTTATTGACAAGAAACACGTCTGTTTATCTGGTCAGCTTTAAATAAGCATGACACGAACATATCGAGCATGTGATGGTGTTATATATGCTGATACACACACTTATCTTTTATTATGTATTAAAGGATGTATATGTGTATATGTAAAGCACAGATTGAATTATATTTGTTTCTTTATTCATTCAATAGTTTTGCTGGAATACTTATCTATGTATTGATTGTGAATGCTCAAATTAAGTTAGTTGTTTATATGCTCTTTATGTATTCTAATTATATGGCAAGATCATCAAAGCCCCGACGTTGCCTATTGTATTCCAATATTGGCAATAGACAATTTTTGAGTTCTTTTTTTCTTTTTTCTTTTTTCTCAGTGTTGGCCATGGATGGATATATATATATATATATTGGTAAATAAGCATGACACGAACAAATCGTTCACTTAGGTGTTACGGAAAGACATGCCCCTCATGGTACAAATCGTTTTATTTGGTCCCACCTTAAAAGAGATTTATGTGACAAACCAAATAGTGAATGAAAAAACAAGATAATCTATCTTAACTTGAAACGCGTGTTCTCATTTTTGAAAAGTTCAATCTGTGCTTGAGTTGTAGGTGAAAAAAAATGGACAACAGTTGGATGACAATAAATAATAGGTTGACCAGTAAAGAGTATCAACAAGGGGTGAAGGCATTCCTTGATTTTGCTATGGCAAATTTAGGCGTGGAGGATGAAATTAGGTGTCCGTGTGTCGATGGCATTAATGGCACAAAATATAGCAGACAAGTTGTGTGGATGCACTTGATCCGAAGATGAATGGCATCTTCGTATATAACTTGGGTGCACCACGGGAACATGTTCCCGTGTCTCATCCTAGTGTATCAAATGACCAATGTGGAGGTAGTGGCGAATGTATGACAGATATCGATGATCCGCTCATGGGTGAATTGCCTATTATGTTGGAAGAAATTTACATGAGTGGTCTTATGGATGATCATACCAACGAGGAACCTAATGGTTTGGAGAGGGAGGATTTTCATAAGTTCGTTAGGTTATTCGAAGATGCACAACGCAAAGTTTACCCGACATATGACAAGTTCTCTGTGTTATCATTCGTTATTAAGATGCTTCATGTGAAGGTGTACAACAAATGGAGCAACAAGTCATTCAATATAGTTATGCAGGTATTCAAGGACATTCTACCAGAATGTGATCAAACTGTTCCATGGACACTCTATGATGCTAAGAAGTTCTTACGTGACTTGGGTTTGGGATATGAAACAATTCATTCGTGCAAGAATGATTGTGCACTATTTTAGAAGACGAGTGCAAATTTGGAGAATTGCCCTACATGTGACGCGCATAGATACAAGTTGAACGATGATGGTGGTAAAAATATTCCACACAAGGTATTGCGGTACTTTCCTTTGACACCGAGATTGAAAAGACTGTATATGTCCAAAAAAACAGCCGCAGACATGAGATGGCACAATGAGAAGCATGTGGATGATGACATATTAAGGCATCTGGCTGATGGTGAAGCATGGAAGGACTTTGATAAGCAACATCCGACGTTTTCTGATGACTCTCGAAATGTAAGGCTAGGGCTGGCAACTGATGGTTTCAATCCATTTGGAAATATGAGCACATCATATAGCATGTGGCCCATAATCATAATGCCTTACAATCTCCCACCGTGGAAGTGTATGAAAGAGCCATTTTGCATGATGTCATTGCTTATTCCCAGACGTTCGGCACCTAGAAGAGACATTGATGTTTACGTGCAACCATTAATAGAAGAATTGAAGAATTTGTGGGAGCATGGTGTGCAAACATATGATGCATCGAATGGAAAATTTTTAGAATACATGTGGTGGTAATGCGGACCATAAATGACTTCCCTGCGTATGGGAACATGTCAGGATGGAGTACAAAGGGTTACTTGGCTTGCCCTAATTGTAACAATAATGCATCATCCCAGGGTTTACGAAGTAAAATAGGGTATATGAGTGCTCGTCGATACTTGCCTGAGAACCACACTTGGCGAACAAGTAAGCTCTTTAATGGTCAAACAGAGCATAGGTCCAAACCTTTGGATTTATCGGGGGAACAAATACTAGAGCAAATTGATTCTGGGACTTACAAGCCGTATGGAAAGCACCCACAAAATCGAAAACGACAAAGGAATGAAAATCAAAATTTGAATTGGAGCAAGCGAAGCATTATGTTTGACTTGCCGTATTGGAAAATGTTGAAGCTTCGACACAACCATGATGTCATGCATATTGAAAAAAATATATGTGACAATGTCATTGGGACACTTTTGAGCATAGATGGAAAGAACAAGAACACGGACAAAGCATGCTTAGATTTGGAGGACATGCGAATACGTAAAGAGTTACACTTGAAGAGGCGTTCTAATGGGTCCTTTGAGAAGCCTCCCGCATTGTACACATTGTCTGTGAAAGAGAGAGAAGGCTTTTGTGATTTTTTGAAAACAATTAAGTACCCTGATGGCTATGATTCCCTATTTGAAAATTATTATTAAGAAAATACTAAAACCAACTAAGGGGTCTTTTGGGAAGCAAAAAAAAAGCCAATTTTTAACTTTTTACTCATTTTGAGTTACATCACCTCTTACATTTTTTATTCACAAAAAGACAAAATAGACTAAAAAAGCTTAAAAAAAACCAATGCAAAACAAATCATATTTTCAAATGTTTAGAAACCACATGAAATATATTAAGTAGTTCTCCTAAATGCTTCTAATAAGTTTACATACACCGAATTAAACAAATAATGATCAGGGTATTTGTTGGTGATCAAATTTTAGACAAACTACACACGTCACTTCTTTATCATTTATGACAAACCGTACTAGTCATCAAAAGTAAACGTTCCCTCTCTCAAGATTCAAAAATGGTGACTACCATCAAATTGTTTCAAAGCTTTCCTCGTGAATACTATTTAATTTTCCCAACTTCTTCAGGGTACAGAGTGCTAAACAAGCATGTCAGTCTCACTAACGTTGTTAGTAACTAATAAATGTCAACTTCCTCCTTTACACCATATCTCTCCTCCTGCGAATGAAAGGTTGAAGTCATTGCACCTCCGAAAGGGGCATCTTCTATCTTGTGGATTTCCAACCACATCATGTTTTCATCACAGCTCCTGGCAAAAATGGAAAACTGGGCTCATATGCAAGTCAGAGAATAAAGAGGATAGAGTGAGAAGAACCTGGCTGCAAACCCACAAATCCAATACTACACATTCAACAATCTAGAAAGCAAGAAACACTTCAAAATGGGCGTGATGTTCGTGTCCGACATAAATGAGACACCAACAGGCCATGGACACAGATGTCTACATGTCAGACATGTCACGTCACGTTAAATTTTTTTTAAATCATTATTTTTTTAGGAACACTTCACGGATACGTGTATCCTATGTTTGAACAGACCTAAAACACTTTTGTAGAGACAAACTAATTCCGATATGAAGAGACAACCTGCAGTTTTTTTGCAACTGAGCAGTACGATAACTTTAATAATTTGTTGTTAACAAAAGTGATACCCATAGTCTTAATATAGAAACCACATTTTAACAAATAAAATGGTTAATTACACTTTTCACCCTAGTTTGATAAAAAAATTCACTTTAGTTCCTATAGTTTCAATTTGAACAATTTGTTCGGTACACTTTTAGTTTGGTTTCAATTTGATCCTTCCATCTAAATTTTTGTTAATTTTGTCTCTGTGTACAATTTAGAAAATTGACAAATGTCCGAAAATTGTTAATTTTAATCTTCAATTTAGACAAAATGACCAAATTGAAACTAGACTTGAAGTGTATGGACCAAATTGTTCAAATTAAAATTATCGGGACTAATTAACCCCAAATAAAAACAGTATACTGATAGCATAGAATAAAAATTTTAAAACCTAAGCTTTTGCAGCTGCTTTGTACTTAAATAACTTAAAGGAGTGGAGATTAAATCACAAATGAAATGGACTGACTTGATCACTGAACTCTCTGGAGCAGTTTCTCCACCATAATCTTTTGCTGAACCCCACTCAACGACTCTGAATTCATAATTGCATTTGATACAAGGATGACTGTAGATGGAGCCTCAACGTTCACCTACATTGATACAAAAATGCCGAGAAAATAAGAAAGCATCAGTACTAGAAAGTGATTTATTTTAAAAATAAGAATCCAAACTATATTTACAAATATCAAAATAGCAAGAATAAATTCTTCTCAAAAGAGCTTTTGGCTCAGCCCGCATAGATGACATAAAGCCTAGAGAAAGTAAAGATCATAATACACAAAGGAAAGAGGAGAAGAGAACACAATGATGATGATGATGATAGTCATCAAGGGATTGTTTTACTTATAAAATTTATGCAATAACGTGGCACTCTCTCACTCTCTTTTTAAACTTGAAGTCAATCCAACTTTAAGCTTGACCAAACTAGATTGCAACAACCCTTTATCAACCATCCACTAAACCACCCATCATCAATCTTACCATGTACTTGACGACATAGGATCAAACCTTCTGCAACAGTTCGTTGGCCATATCAATAGTTGAAAAAATCAAGGGTTTCTCCCAATTAGATGGAGGGGTTCGTGAAGGGAAGGTAGTAGTGCGGAGTTGGTGAAGTGGAGGTCTAGAGAGGGTGAGGGAGGCACTAGGGATGGCTCAGGCAGCTGGTGGTGGCAGGGTCGGGTGAGGGGTGGCTGGTAGTGGGGGAGTTTAATTTATTAATAGGGTTAAACCTGGGGTTATTTTTTAATTTCCACAAAAATAAAATAAAATAGTTTTGAAACAAGGAACCTCTTCAAGCCAACTGCAATAAGGAAGCAACGCAAGTTTCATACCCAAACACGGCCATTTAAACCAACTGCTATCTCAAAGGAGAGCTTCTTCCCAAGACCTTCAAGAACCGGACATGTTGCGGAGCTGAGCAGCCTAGAAGACGAAAAAACAGACATGTCAGCACAACTGAAAGAAAATCTCAATACGCAGATTTCAAACAGAGTGGTTCTGTGTTGGAAATACTAAAATATCCATGTATTAAAGGAGAGGGAAAATCTCACATTTGGGCAAGGCCAGTTAATGACTCAAATGTGAAGCCATCTTTAAGGGGACCACACTCCGCTGCTTTCCCAGTGGCTACAAAGCATGAATAGTTTTTCAGAAACTATAGGTCAATTGAGAATCTTAAATCGATCGAGAATTTTACAAGTAAAAAGAAGGCAACACATAGAAGCCATATATAGAATGGAGTTGGAAGTCCAGAATGAAAACCAACCATCAGTACATGACAACTCGGGATTCATGCCCGTGTTTGCCTTCGCAACCCGAACATAGATCAAAGTACCTACCCGCAAGATGAAGGTTAAGCCAACTGAGATGCAATAATATTAAAAGAAAAAAATTACCAATAAGTTCCAATTTTTAGGACAGTTTTGCAAAACTACAATGGGTGCATATATTCAGTAGTTCCAAACCACATCCAATGGGAATCCCAGCCTGCCCTTGATTTACTCTTTTTCAGTTTTCCCATTCTCAGTGTTGGTCTTAGCACTAAATAAACAATCTGTTGGTGAAATTCAGTTTTCCTGAAGCAGGTTTTGCAATCCAATCATGGAACATGAACACAAGATTGAGATGGTCATAGTCATCGTAAGCATCTTCAGGTCATATAACCCAAGTTAACGAGAAAACAGCGGGGCATCAATCAACAATAAATAGAATAGCATAGTGCATTAGTCGAAACATTCTAAATGGTGAAACTTGCACCTTAAACTTGGGTATGTTTCTCCTTATTCCTCCTTCAAATGAAAGTACAGGAAGAAATGCCAATGCAGGCCCTTTTATATCCACAAGGAAGTTCTGAAATGAATAGAGCAAGGAATTGTGTCAAGAGTTTGCATAGATTTTAAAGATACTAAAGTGAAAAATAAATTGATACCAGTGATTTTTGTTTTTTAAAACAAACATGATAAGTGAAATATATTGCATCATCAAATATTCCTCTTCAAGGAGGTACATACAACCCAAAACAGGCAAATAGAGATACAAACATTACCAATATTTTAGAGCAACCATATATAAACTCAATAAGAGCACTAAGGATGTCATGTGGTGCAAGAAACATGATGTCTAAACTCTATCCTGTTTGGCAAGAATAGTGGCATGCATAACTCTGACACAAATACAAAAAGACCCTTTTTTACAAGTCCTTAAGAAAGGTCTTAAAAACGTAGCCATCCAAACACTATCCCCTCAAAAATCAAGTTTAACATTTTTGTTTTCAACAGAAAAGAAAATATGAAATTGATGCCAGAAGCAACTTCTACAGAGAGAAAGGAAGTTTCTAGCCATAAAAAACAAGAAAATATAATAGCAAGCATCAAGACTTATAGTATTCAGGTAAAATTTGAGATTATATAGTGATTAAAGCTACACATGAGAACAAAATTAACTTTGATTTGACAAGAAAAAAAACCTTGTTCAATTAACTATATGACAAGGTTGATGCATTCTGACCAAAGATGTAGAAGGAATCCCCGATACTACCCCACTGTGAAGCACCCCACTATGAAGCACGGACACGGACACCAACACGGGACACGACAATTTTCAAAAAATGGGGACACGGACACGGCAAGAGACACGGCGACTTTTTTTTTTTAATATATTTTTATGTGTTATGTAGATTCATGTTACATTCATCCTAAATCAAAATTAACAAACACAAACATAGTAACATTAATTCAATAAATATAACCACTACATTTAAACAAATTAATAGATCATTCATTCACAAAAAATTCATAATAAACGATAACAAGAACTGAGACGAGAAGGGGAAAACATTCAACATCCAACAATATTCTTCACAAAAATAGCAAATAAGAGAGGCAAAAGAAGAAGAAAAAAAAAAGTCAGCCCCGCCGTGTCTCATGCTGTGTCCCGATATGGACACGCATATCCCCACCGTGTCTCCTACAAAAAAATCATTAAATTAAAGGGACACGCCATCTGGCGTGTCCCGTACGTGTTCCCGGCGTGTCCTCGTGTCGAACACCACCACGGCACCGATTTTGGAGTGTCCATGCTTCATAGCTACCCCATTAGATAAACTCTCAGACTTTGTGATCTACATATTTATTTGGATCACTCCCCACAACTACAATAGTTCTCATCAACAGTTTGCATGTTTTCAAGGATCCTCAACAAGTAAGATCTTCAAATGATCTCTAGTGATTTCTCAGTTTTTCTCCCTCTTGTAACAGAACACACAAAATAATTGTTGCAGGGTTTGCAGGATAAGCCTGTTTCCGCTTCCGTGGCAGCAGAGGTACAAACAACCTATGTTTACTGACACCAGGTTTATTTGTTCATCTGATTAACTGAGAAGAGAACCCCTTGAGATGCTCAAGCTTTTAACAATCACCCTAAAATGGGAATGACAAGTGAATAGAAAGGTAATCTAAATGCATCCTGCACCGAGTTATCAATAGTGAGAATGTCCACACCCACATACACCCAAAAAAAAATGAGCTTTGTTGGCACACCAGACTTCCAAATAAATTCCCCTAGAAAAGAAGTCATATCCTCACCGATGATCAAAGAGTGCTAGGATTTAATCTTTTCCATTTCTTATACTTTCCCTTGCTCTCAATTTTCTATCCATCCTACCAGATGGAGTATTAGGTTCTAAATTATTCAAATTTGTGATCATAGTCATTTGCCCCTTTCTTCTTCTTCTTCTTCTTCTTCTTTGGATAAATAAACAATAGTCATTTGCCCTTCTTAATGTAGAAGTTTCTTAATGATTCAAACCTTTGTAATCATTCATGTCAAGTGGTGTCAAAATGAACATCCACATTAATGCCACAAAAGGAGGAGGTGATAAAAAGAGAGATTTATACAATGCTTGTGTTACATAGGCTATCAAGCTACACAACACAGAAATCTGATAGAAAGAAAATTTTTAATATATTTATAACAAATAATGGAGAACCAAAATACATCCTTTAATTGCAGTAATAAGCTAATCAGAAAAATAGAAGGTTTAACTATAACTGAAATTAATAAACCAATAACATTAAATGATGTAAATGATTAGAGTGCTACATTAGCTTTGGAATCTACCACAATTCCAAGAACATTATCCCCCACACAAGGCATGTCCTGTAGAGAACAAAATTCAAACACAAATTAGAATGTTCTATGCAGGAAATAAGACAGAGAAACATTAGAATTATTATATGCAAGAAACAAACTCAAACTGATAACTGATAGTACAATACATAAAAATTTAAAGAACAGTGAAATCCTAGTGTAATAGATAGAAAGAAAGAAAAAATGAAATACATTCAATTTTGAGGGCATAGATTTGTAAAATCATAGAAAAATCACTAATATTATAATGTAGAGCTAAAGTGAATATTGATGAGCTTCATGTATAAGATCAAACCAATGCAAACCAAACTAAGCTTTGTGTCCCAATCAAGGGGGGTCAACTATATGAATTTTGTGTGGCCATTTTGCTTTGTCAAGGGCTATATGCTAAATTAAATTAAATAAATCCATTTGTTTTACAATCATATCCCATGTCAATTTAAGTCTTCGCCCATCCCTTACATTTTCATATCACTTTTCCTTACCATTGCATCTACAAGTCTTCATTGTACATAATCAAAGCATCTTAGCATTGACTCTCTAAAGTTATCTTTAATTGGTCCTCTATTTCATGAAGATATTCATTTCTAATTCCATATTTCATACTCTTACCACAAATCCATTTAAGCATTCTCATCTATGCTACATTCATTTCATGAACATAGTTCTTAGTTGTTCTTAAGCCATACAATTATGTGCTTTTAGTATTTTAATTTTATAGATAGATAGATAGATGTTCTATAAAGCTTTCCTTTCAATTTTGTCAGTATTATATAAGATCAAAAAGATTAAAAACATAAATAAAAAAAGAGAAGAATACATTTTAAATAAAACAAAGTAAACAAACCATGACAACATATAAAAAAATAAAAAATAAAATAAAAAAATTGGATAAATAACTAAACTTTACTACAAAAGCATCAAAATGATGTAAAGAAATATAAAACTGAAAGCCACCGAGGCTCACAGAATCAACAAATCAAATCCTCCACAAAATCTACAAAAGCCAAAACATCAGGATTAACCGAACGTGTCACCCAACTATACAAAACCATAAGCACGCGTCTTTCTAACCAAGGAACCTAATGAGCTACCCCCTGGAAAACACGCCTATTACGCTCCAACCAAACCATCCATAGAAGACAATGAGATGCAAGCATCCACGCCTTCTGACGCCACCGCCAAACACGACCCCAACCCAACGCTGTAGAACAGCCTTGACTAAATTCGGTTGCACCCAAACCAAGCCAAAGGTCGAAACAACAAGCATCCAAAGACGAAAAACGACCAGACAATGAACCAACAAATGATCCACAGACTCTGCATCACCACAGCACAAGCAACACCAATTGACCAAAATATGGCCACGACGAATCAAAGTATCCAAAGTCAAAATGCATCCCAACATTGCCATCCACACGAAAAAGGACACCTTGGACGGCGTACGTGACACTCAAACACATTGCCAAGGGAAAACAACAGCCTCCTCATGAAATAGCACATTATAAAATGAGGAAAGAGAAAACTTTCCTTTTTCCCTAGGGCAATCCCATTCCAAAGCATCCAATCCCAACCCGCCAACACGCAACTCATATAAAAAACCCAACTCCAGCAGCTGGTCTTGCTCCTAATCCTGTACATTACAACACAAGTGCACATTCCAAAACGTTGAATCCCCTCACCCAGACCGCACAGCATCCACCATCACCTCCGTATTAACGGCAATTCCAAAAATCAAAGGGAACCACACTTCCAAGGAAAGGTAACCACACCACCTATCCCGCCAAAACCGAACTCTATCCCTCACTCCTACCTTCAATTTGACCCTCCTCAAGAACTCCTCCCACCCCAACCAAATCCCTTTCCATAGACCATAGCCATGTGATTAGACCACCCGCCCAGAACTCCACCCTTTCCTCCCATCACCTCACCAAATTTTGCCACCACCACCCTCCTCCAAAGATGGTCTCTCCTCGCCACAAAACACCGCAACCATTTTCCCAACAAAGCCACATTAAACATAACCAACCTCTGAATCCCCAGACATCCATTGACCCTGGGACGACAAATCCGATCCCAAGCCACCAGATGATGAGAACCCTCCTCCCCATTGCCCCATAGGAAATCCCTCTACAACTTCTCAATCCGCTTTGCCATTGACACCGAAATGACATGAACAGACATAAAGTAAGTTGGAATGCTAGATAAGACACTCTTAATCAACGTGAGTCTGCCAACTTTTGATAAATACTGCCACTTCCACACAGCCAACTGCCGCTGCACACGTTTCACCACCCCATCCCAAACCCCCTTCGCCTTGAAGGACGCCCCGAGAGGTAACCCCAAATATGAGACTGCCAGAGATGTCATCTTACACCCCAGAATAGTTGTCAACACCGATGTCCTCTCCACCTCGCCCACTGGAATCAGTTCTGATTTTGCTAGATTCACTCGAATGTCTGAAACTGCCTCAAAACACAACAACACACACCTCAAGTGGCCAATCTAAACAACATCTGCACCACAAAAAATAAGTGCATCGTCCGCATAAGACAAATGGGAAATCGTCAGAGGTACTGTATTTACTCCCACAACCTGCAACAGGCCCTCTTGCATTGCTCGAGACAACAAACACCCCAACGCCTCCATCACCAAAATGAACAACAAAGGAGATAATGGATCCCCTTGTTGTAACCCTCTATAAGTAAGAAAGAAACCCGCTAGAGACCCATTAACAAGGATTGTCATCTGCACCATAGATATACAAAAATGAATCCACCTCCTCCATCAATCCCCAAAACCTAATATGTGCAACATATACAATAAAAACTTCCAATTGACCTTATCATAAGCCTTCTCTATATCAAGTTTTTAGATAAGCCCCTCCTGCCCTTACCGAAGTCTAGAGTCCACACATTCATTCGCCACTAGAATCGCATCCAGAATTTGCCGACCACCCACAAAAGCATTCTGAGACTCGAAAACCACCCCTTCCAACACACCTCGTAACTAATTCGCAAACACTTTTGCCAAAAGCTTATACACACTACCCAATAGACTAATAGGCCGAAAGTCCCCAATATCCGCAGCCCCACCCTTCTTTGGGATCAAAGCAATAAACGTGGCATTGAGGCTGCGCTCAAACTCCCCTGATTGATGAAACTGCTCAAACATAGCCATCATATCTACCTTCATCACCCCCAAACATTGCTGAAAAAAGGCTATCGAAAAGCCATCTGGACCCGGCGCCTTATCCCCAGGCATACTCCGTAAAGCCTCAAACACCTCATCTTCGGCAAAAGGTCGTTCCAACAAGCAACTATTCGCCTCTAAAATAGTATAAAAAATAACACCATTCGGGCCTGGTTTCTGCACCTCCCCTTTATCCAGAAATAAATGCTTGTAGAACTCACAATACCTGTCGTAATCTCCTCGGACGATGACAGCTCCACACCATTCACTCGCAATCTGCCTATCTGGTTCACCCGTCGATCAGCATTTGCCAAATGGTGGAAAAACTGTGTTTCGATCCCCATCCTTGAGCCACAAGTATCTAGATTTCTACCGAAAACTAATCTCCTCCATACGGACAATGTGACCAAATTCCGCGCGGGCCCCATCTCGACGAGCAAGATCTGCCTCAGACAATCCCTCCGCAGCCTCTATCACATCGAACTCCTGCAACACAGCAAGCTCATTGACCTTCTGGACCTCCAAACGCCCAAACACTTCCCTATTCCACGTCTTCAAATCGAACTTGAGAAGTTTTAGTTTATGTGCCAGGCGACAACTCGGCAAGCCTGAAACAAAATAACTGTCCCATCAACCCTTCACTCACTCCTTAAAACCCTTAGATTGCAACCACATATTCTCAAACCGAAACGGCGCCGGTCACCTCCTGATTCCCCCACTATCCAATAAAACTGGTCAATGATCTGTTACTGGACGGGACAACCAAATTTGAGTCACCTGAGAGAAATGCTCCTTCCACTCCCCTGTTACCAAGAATCTATCAAGCCGAGACATTGCTCCTCCCCCCTAGACCACGTATAGGCACCACCCTACAACGGCAAATCGACCAATGCCATATCATCAATAAACGAAGAGAACGCCCACATAGAAACCACCACCGAAGTTGCCCCCAACTTCTCCTCTAGACTCCTCACCACATTAAAGTCACCACCTACACACCATGGAACCCCCCACCGATATGCAATGCATTATAGCTCCTCCCAAAAACTTAGCTACTCCTCTCCATGAACCGGCCCATATACCCCCGTAAAAGCCCATCGGAAATCGTCCTCAACACACTGAAATAAGCAAGAAATCGAAAAAGCCCGCACATCTTCCTCTTCTTTGACCACCACCCTCCTCTCCCAACAAAGAACTCCCCTTACCACCGCTAGAGCCAGCAAATACGTCCAATCCACAAACCGACCACCTCATAACTCCCTAAGAATCTCCCCCCTAAACACTCCATCTTAGTCTCCTGAAGACACACCACATTTGACCGCGCACTATGGGACACAAACTTTACCAACCCTCTCTTGCCCCTATCATTTAATCCATGAAAATTTTTAATTGCATTGCATCAACAACTAATTTCCAAGACCCTTTCTAGTGCCCCGCCCATTCCCTCCCTTTTTCTGATCATAATTTATGGAACACTCCAGTTTTCGTAATTCCCTAACACGCTTTCCATTGTGTTTCACAGGCTCCACCACATCCCGAGTAGGAGCCCCATCCCTCCATGAGTCCTCTATTGCAGAAAAAATTTCAGTGCCTCTTCCTTATGCCCTTCGAAAGAAACCCCCAAAAATTGGCTCACCTCATTGATATGAGAAAGGACCCAATGCAAAACCTCCATTGGGCTCGGACATCCCTCCCTCTAAAACTCTATTTCTGTCACCGATACATCATCCTCCTCCCTAACATCCACCCCAACTTCCTCGTTACAGGGTACCTCTGGTCGAACCACCAAGGCCAGCTCATCTGCCACGTCAGCCAAGCGACATTTCGTCTGCGTGTCCACTGCTTCACCCCTATCCTTGAAACCCCCCTCATCATGGCTCTGCCCCTCCGTCATGGCACCAACTTGATGCAACCGAGCATGATACGACCGCGAACCAGTGATGGTAGAACCTGACGACGGCGACATGCCCACTGGCCGACCACCGACAACTCTCTCGTGAAGTGGAGTATCCTCCACCGACACCCCCAAAGCATTGACAATCGGACAGCACCCAACCTTGTCGCGCAGCAACGCAAAGACCCGACTGAGATCCGGGTTGGTGTTACTAGGCTTGCCTGAAGCACTACCGCCTGGGTTAGGCTGTGCGAACTCCTGCACCATAAGGCCCACCTCACTTTCCACATAGCCCAGACCCCTGGCAGCATCTGTTAGGCCCCGCTTGTGCTTGCCCACTAGATTAACAATGTTTTGGGTGTTGTCAGGGCCCAGATGTGTGACCTTAAAACCCCCTTTAAAGCCCACGCCCTTCCCTACATGGAAGCGAGGCCGATACCAAGAAACCCTAGATACATTCTTCCTCTCAAATCTTTGCAAATATTCCTTCACCCCCAAGATCTTCAGGGATCCTTGATTTGGTTGGCGTGAATCACGCCCTACCCTTCCCAATCAAAGATCCGCCTCTGCCGCAAAAGGCAGCGCTACAAGCTCCACCGTTGGCCCGTTCTCCACCCACACTGGCACCGAATAATTCCACGACCCCCATTGAATGGAAACTCGCGATGCTGTGTAAATTAACAATGATAAATTTTGTTTTAAAAATTAAAGGTGGGTGTCTTAATAGATTACAAAAATGAGGCAAATGTTTTCATTGAAGCTTTAACCATTATTTCGAGCAGTAAGGTAATCCAATGTAACATTTTTCAATAGTACAAAAAGAGACCTCAATCAGTCCTCAGAAAAACACATGCAACTGAGTAGAGATAAAAAGGTGATCAAATCACATTAATGCTTCATCTTTCAATAATTTCTCACCAAAAATACCCATAGATTTCCCTTATCCAAAAGTAGAAAAGGGAAAATCAACACTTAGCTTCCAAACTTTGAATATTCTGCTGGTTTTAAATAGCCAAACACTGTTTAAAGGGATAAATGAAACACAGTCAAGTTTGAAAAAGACAATTTAGGAGACAATGATTAAAACCAAAACAATGTGCTTGTTTTATATGTCTAGGATAAATATGAGAATGTTTTATTTGGCCACCTCAAGTTTGGAAAAGCCCTTGTGAAATATAGGTTACATAACTAACTTCAAGCAGTCCTATCATAACCATTATGAAAATGGCATAATAAACAATCTTAACATATCCAGACGAATACACAATAAGGAACAGTACACAAACACTATAGCCCATGATCATTCAAGGTTAAAATATTGGGAAACAGAAGAAAATCTGAATGCTTACATGGAATGAGGCAAATAAAATTTACAATTTTTTTTTTTCTTGATAGGGCTAAAACTTATAGGTTGTATAGTTATTAAAACATCACAGAAAATTAAGGCACCTTTTTCACATTTTATCATATGACATATGATTTTAACACCACACTCACTCTCCTTTGGGAGCTCTTAACCCAACATTTGTTTGGCTTCACAAATTTCAGCTTCCCAGCCTTCATGACAGAAATAGCATCACAGTCCTGAAAATTTTGGACAGACAAGAAGGATGTGAATTGAAAATGAAAATAAACATATTGATAAGAAAAATATTTGAGTATAACATAGAGGAATGAAATTGAAGTTGGAGAAGAGAGTGTGATCATCGACTCCACACTTCATTAAAAAAACAAAAATTTAAATCACCACAAGCATGGAAACTACAATCCAACGAACAAGGGCTAGCATAGTTGGCCAAAACCCTTCCACCTCCTTACTAGGAGGTCAAGGGTTTAAGTCTTGCCATAGGCAAGACTCCCCCTAACCCAGGCAACAACCTCAAATGTACCAAAAAAACTACTACCCAACAAGAAATTCGCATGAAATTTGAGTGATTAAGAGCAATGAAACCAAATGAATTCATAACCAAATTGAAGTTAGAGAAGAGAGTGTGATCGGTGACTCCACACTTCATCATTAATGATGTGTTTGATTGGGGGATTGGAGGAGAGCTTTGGAAAGGGAAATGAAAAAGGTAGTTGAAATGTAAATAAAATATACCTATATTTCACCTAGTTTCACACACTTTTTTTCCAATCTCTTTCCAAATCTCTCCCCAAATCTCCCAACCAAACACAACGTAAAGAAAATAAATTTAAATCACTACAAGCATGAAGATTACTACCCAACCAACAAGGGCTAGCAAAGTTGGCAAAAAACCTTGCACCTTACCGCCTCCCCCATTCTATGGCCTCCGATGTACCCAAAAAACTACTACCCAACAAGAAATTTGAGTGATTGAGAGCAATGAAACCAAATAAATTCACGACCAAGTTAGGAATTGTATATTTGTGAAGACTAAATAAACAAAATCACTATCTTCACAACCCTTTTTTTTCTTTTCATTTTTTCCTTGCGTGACTCATTTTCTTAGCCAAAGAAAAAAAAAAGGGGTAATTTGCACCAAATCCAACAAAACAACACACACACACACAAGTAAGAATAAAACAAACCTGATGGAGACCACCCCCAAGCTTGATGGTTTGATTAGCCATACTTGAGAGGTCAAGAACCACATCCCCTGGAACCTGAACACATTCAAAAACACATATATATTTATATCCACATATAAATATATATAAATTGTACATACAATACAGAGAAATTAATGTAACTGCTCACAACAGATTGATCGACAAAACTGGATGGCGAATTCGACAGATTAGCTTCCATCTCGAGAACAAACACTCGAAAATATATATATATATATGGGTTTTCGTTTACTCTATGCAATGTTCTATCAAATCATAAGATTCACTGTATATAATATTGAATTATGAAGCAAAGAAGAGACTTGATTGGATCTTCTACAGCTATATTTTTGCTACGAGTCGGAATTGAAATAAATATGAAGAGAGAGAGAGAGAGAGGGGGAGAGAGTAGAAATCTGTAAGACACAGTATAGATGCAGGGCTAGGGTTTTTGTTCTTCCAGATCATTTGCCGTGTTTTTCTACGGTTCTTCCTACGGCGGTCCAAAACAACATCGTTTTGGACCTCTTTTTTTTTTTTTTTTCTTCTTCTTCCCTTCTTCTCTCGTCTTCTTTTTCTTTTCAGCCTCTCTTTCGTTTTTGAACCTACCCCCTCTCAGAGAGACGAATAGAGGCCACAAACGGAATCACCTCTTCTTTTCGGGTTGATGAAAGTATTCATCTAATTCATCATCTACTACACTGTCTTCTTGATCGAACAAGTGGAAGAACGGTCGGTCCGTTCTTTTCCCCCATTAACATCTTCAAAGCTAACCATGGACCTTGAATCTAATACACAGACAAAAAAAACAATATTTAGACCATTTTGCAACCAAAACTATACGTGTTAAAAAGTTAATAACCATTTTTTGACATGCTTATGGAATCTGAGGACTTTTTGAAACATTGAGTTTTGTATAAATCTAATAATATATATATATATATAATATAAAATATTAAAAGAAAAAAAAACAGAACCAGAAATCACAAAATCACAAATTGCTCAAATCAACCAAAAAATTATTGAATTTAGAAGTCAACTTTGACTAGAACAGTCCTTCAATTTTCCCAGAACACAAACAAACACAAAGTTAAATCATAATTTCTTTATGAAAATTAAGAATAAAAAATAGGGAAATGAATTGATTTTGCTTGTTAGATATGAATTAAGAAAACCCCCCAAAGAAAATTCAGGTGTAAATAATGAATCAACAAGCAGAGCAAACAATCAAAAGTACCATAAGAGAGAACTCAGTCTGAGATGAGAAAGAGGAGAGGAAGACAGCATCAACAAAGAGATGAGATGAGAGTGAGAGACAATGAACTGAATGAGTGAGGCGTGAATTAGGTTACATTTTAGTTTTTATATGAGACAAGAAATTATATTCTGTAGGAAGGTATATAGTATAAATATAGATTATTTCTAGATGGTCCGGATCGGTTCCAATCAGGAACCGATCCGTGGCCTACGGATTTTGAAATTTCCAATCCTGAACCGAACTACGGATTTAAAAAACCAATCCAAACCTATCAGATTGGATTGAACCGGATCGGATTACGAATTTTACGGATTCCTTGGTCAGCCCTAAGTGGAACCTCTTTTTCAAGTTCTTTATCCTTAATATCGTATGCTTTGTTTTGGCATGTTCACCCACTGCATATTTCCAATAATGATGTTACTATAGACAAAACATGCAATTTGGACTTTATTGCGGGCCTCCCTTTTGCAGTGGTTAAAACGGAGACGAGCACACTTACTACGGGCTCAACAGGGGATTCCTGTTTCAGAATATGGGGTAAGTTCTATTGATATCATTTTTGAGTTTGCTATTGACTAAGAATAAGGTAGTTAGAGGATAATATTGAAAGGAAAAGAGTGTCTTTTTGAGTCATGTAAGTATCGTAGTAAGGACGATCTTTAAATTTTGAGCAAGAGAGAAAAGGAAAATTGAACTTCTCGTATGAATTTTGAGTCTTCAACTAATACATTGGAGCTACTTCATGTTGGAAGTGAAATTGCTTAGAAGTTTAGAGAAGCTATATCTTTTATGGACACTATGTGTCTTCCTCGAGTATTAACCAAAACAAAGAGTTCCAAAAATTTGGGAAGTCATCATAGCAAAACATTTGCATTTCATAAAAAATGCCTAGTTTTTGTACTTTGGCATACTGCATACATAAAGACTAATACGAATGCAATGTTTTTTGCCTTTTTTTCAATGTAATGTGTAGTAGAAGTCCATATTATTATGTTATGTTTGTGAGTTTCATTTATTTCATATTTTGTAATGTCTTTTGTGATGTTATGGCCTACCATGTTTGAGGTAGCTCAATCTAGTTGATTATCTAATTTTTAATCCCATACTTGTAGTAAGCTTTCTATAATTACGTAATTTTCCTGCTTAGAAATGATTGTTCAAGAGGTTTAAGCAAATTTTGTTCCTCAGATCATATACCATAAAGCATATTTCGCCTCTTTTCAGGTGTTGGTTGACATGATTCAAGTACCGGATTGGGCATTTGAAGCTGCTGGCCAAGAAATGAGAGGCATGGGCCAAGAGGCAGCATACCAGCCCGGACTATGCTTGACAGCAGCTCAGGTATCAATTAAGTAATTACTGTAGCTAGAACTGATTCACATACAATTTTCAGTGAATTGTCTCTCTCAGTATTTGACCTGTAAGAAGACGCCCAAATAATAGTAGTAACTACAGGTGGACTTGGGGCTTGTCACAATGTGGTGCTGTCTTTATTACCATTGAAAGGTTTATTAGTTGCTATTCTCTTTCTGTTACCCTGCCTTTTCTATTGAAAGCCCTTATGCAGATTCCAATGTTACTGGAATGCATGCAGAGAGAAGCAGTGGAGGCACTCATTCAGGAACTTCCAAAGTTCAGGCTCAAGGCTGTTCCCACTGATTGCAGCGAATGTCCCATCTGTCTAGAAGAGTTCCATGTGGGAAATGAGGTAAATATATTGTTGGTCCAATACATAATCTTTGAATAACCTCCATTTTGTAACTCATCAATTCCATATTCCAATTGTTTTTGTGTGTATATATTGCCATTTCCTATAATGAACTTGCTTAAGTTCGAAAAACCTTAGATTCGTATTTATAGATTTTTAGCCATATCAAGTACCATCATGGCTGTGCTTCTCCTTTTCCCACTGATTGCAGCGAATGTCCCATCTGTCTAGAAGAGTTCCATGTGGGAAATGAGGTAAATATATTGTTGGTCCAATACATAATCTTTGAATAACCTCCATTTTGTAACTCGTCAATTCCATATTCCAATTGTTTTTGTGTGTATATATTGCCATTTCCTATAATGAACTTGCTTAAGTTCGGAAAACCTTAGATTTGTATTTATAGATTTTTAGCCATATCAAGTACCATCATGGCTGTGCTTCTCATTTTCCTTTCAGATTGATAATAATAGGAAGTTGAAGCCAAAATGCAAGTTGATTTGACAGGGGCAGAGGGCATCCCCTTAGAATTCCCTATACTCAACAATACATATATCAAGGCTCTGTTTGGCAACAATACATACATCAAGTTCAATATTTTTTACTTTTCTGATCTGTCTAATCTAGTAAAATCTGAAAGTAAGAAATTTTTTCGAATTTTTTATTATAAAAAAGTTAACTAAAACATAAAAATCAACAAAAGATGCTAAAAAATCAATTGCCAAACCCACTCTAAAATGCCTTTTGGTTGCTCTATCTAGGGAAGTTAAGCTAAGTTTCTCATTAAACATGGTGCAGGTTCGTGGCCTTCCTTGTGCACACAATTTCCACGTGGAATGCATTGACGAATGGCTTCGTCTGAATGTGAAATGGCAAAGGTGCCGTTGTTCCGTCTTTCCAAACCTTGATCTCAGCGCACTATCCAATATCCGGCCTGATTCTGAACGGTCATCATCTGCCAGTGTCGTGACAACAACCCGTTATGCGAGAACCCCTCAACCTCCTAGCCAGAGTTACCTATTGAGATTGCAAGGTTTGTTATGACCAGTTCATACAGAAACAGCAGGGCCGGGCCATGATGCAGACGTTGCGTTGGAAACCGCTGAGAATAGAGGTATGTCAGTTGCAACTCGGGACCCCACAAACATTGATAGGGGATACCCTGTTGTTGAACACACAGTAGTTGTGCAGTCAAACCCTCCTGAGCACTAGCGTTTTTTTCGGATTCTTTTGTGATTAAACCGGTATTAACCGCTGAGAACAGAGGTATGTCAGTTGCAATTCGGGACCCCACAAACGTGGAGGAGAGATACCCTGTTGTTGAACACATAGTAGTTGTGCAGTCAAACCCTCCTCAGCACTAGTCTTTTTCTCAGACTCTTTTGTGATTAAACCGGTGTTGCTTCTTAGTCTAACCACACGTGAAATGGAAGTGTGTCCATTGAATAGTTATGTTAACATGATTTTTTTGATCTGAAACCCTTGTAATTGAATGTTTCCTTTGGAATTTTTTCTCCTACTGTTTTTACTTTGTAATGTTTCTGGCAAGGATATGAAACAATAAGCCAGTGCTTACCAGAGGATGTGAATGAAAACTACTTTAGGCAGATCTAACTGAAATCTTTCTTGTTTGTAAGGCTATGTTTGGAATCAACAACTAAGAATGAGAATGTTATAACTATGTTGTGTTTGCATATAAATGAAGTATTATTTGTTTCTCTTCCTTTTCAAATTTTTACATGCATGCATTAGTGATAGGGTTCGTTTGTATAGTTTATACCAAAAAAGTTGTGAAGTGTCAATGCATTAGTGATAGGGTTCGTTTGTATAGTTTATACCAAAAAAGTTGTGAAGTGTCATGTAGTGCAAAAAATTGAGTGTGAAAGTGGAGCAAGGATCTTCTTATTGGATCCTCTGTTTGGCTTCCTACTTGGTAGGTTATTGGGCCTGTTTTTTAGTCTAATTTTGATAATTCGAATTATTCATATTTTAGAATTTGTCATGTATATCATACCTGTAAAAAATCAAGTTAATAGGATATCAGAAGAATTAAAAATTATTTATTAAAAAAAATTTAATGAACAGTTTTATTGTTTAATAAAACTTTTACTTCACCTGATTTTCGACATACGATCTACTTGATTTTTTATAAGTATGATATACATGACAAATCTTAAAATATAAATAGTTTAAATCATTAAAATTAAATCTAAAAGTGAATCAAATGACCCATCAAATAAGGAGCCAAGGAGCCGAGAGTATCTTGCTTGTAAAAGTGTGCTGGGAGAGGGAGCAGCTTGGCTCCAATTTGAAATCGGACTAGGCGGTGTTGTTTGGTCTGTGGGGGCTCACCATGGGTCTCGTTTTGATAATCCAAACAGTTCAATATGTATAATTCGTCGAGTAGGGCTAGGCATAGGGTTATCCGACCCGCTCAAACAGCCCTACCCGAACCGAACCGCACGCGCGTGGGCGGTTTCGCAAACACATTAGGGTAAGGTGCGGGTTGGATTTTATATAAATTGTAGATAGCGGACGGGTTGCGGGTTTGAAATGCACCCACCCAATCCGCATGCATTAAATTAATTAATTAATTAATTTTTTTCTCTCTTTCAAATCTAGCCGTCCATCTCACACCATCTCACGCATCTCACTCATCTCATCTATTACAAACAAAACAAATATGAAAACACCCTAATCGTCTCCTCACTCTCTCAGTCTCATCTCAAGTTCAATGAAAAAAAATGAAAAACCCTAATCGTCTCCTCACTCTCTCAGTCTCATCTCAAGTTCAACTCATCACTGTCTCTCTCTCTCACTCTCTCGTTTCGTTGTTCTTCATATCTGCACCGATCACTCTCTGACTCTCTCATTGTTCATCTCATCGCACCGATCATCGCACCGCCGATCTACTCACAGGTAAACTATCTCTCTCAATCTCAATCTCTGTCTCTCTCTCTCTCTCGCCCCGATCGTTGTTTTTTTTTTGTTTTATATATATATACATATATATATCAGATATCTCTCTGATCTGATCTGTCTCCCTCACTCTCTCATCTCATCAGTCTCACTCTCTGGTTTTGCATCTCTGCACCGATCGACTCACAGGTAAGCCTCTCTCTCTTTCTCTCTCTCTCCCTGATCTCTCATCTTTGCACCAATCGAGCAGATCTGTTCTGTTTGTTTGTTTTGGACCAACAAATCTATTCTGTTTGTTTTGGAATCTGTATGTTTGTTTTGTTTTGGAATCTGATCTGTTCTGTTTATTTTATTCTGCACCGATCACTCTCTGTGTGTTTGTTCTTAAGGAATTTGTTGAATCTGTGTGTATGTATGTTAATCAGATTCATGTTGATTTTGTTGAATTTGTTCTTAAGAAATTTGTGTATGTATGTGTGTATGTTAAGAAATTTGTTTGAATTTGCTCTTAAAGAATTTTTGTTGAATCTGTGTATGTATGTATGTATGTTAAGAAATTTGTTCTTAGTTGTGTTGAATCTGTATATGTATGTTATTAATTGTGTATGTTAATTTTATTAAATCTGAAATCTAAATCTGTATGTTAATTTTATTAATTGTGTCCGTTATTAAATCTGAAATCTGAATCTGTGTGTTATTTAATTTTTGGAATTCAGATAAAATCTGAAATCTGTTTACATTTTTGGATCTGTTTACATTTTTGGAATTCAGACTAAATCTGAAATCTGTTTACATTCAATCTGTTTACATTGTATGTTATTAAATCTGAAATCTGTTTACATTCAATCTATTTACATTGAATCTGTCTGTTTTCATTTGAGATCTGTCTTGATTGGTTATCATGTTGAGAAATTGAAGGAAAATCTTTGATGTCTCTTCAGTTACTTGGGTCAAGATTCCCGCTTTTCATCTATATATATTTTTCAGTAAGAATAATAAAATGTGGTTGACTGGTGGTTGTTTAAAACTTTGTAAAATATAAACAAAAGACCTTGTAGTTACATTGCATGAGAATTTAGCTTCAGCTTGGTGATTTGATGTGTCTGTATTCTGTTGTGTGTTAGCTTCTTGTTAAATCTACTTAAAAGCCCAAAATTGTAGTTCATTCCTGTTTGATGGTTTAGTTGTCTTGACTTCCTCATTGCATTTTTATTTTTTTATATTGCATCTACAAGTAGATCTAGTATTCAAAATCCTGGGCTTTTTTGACATTTGCTCTCTGTTTTGTTAATTTTGTTGGTATTTTGGAATGCCATGTTTTATTACTTTATTTCTGGTTTTCTTATTGTTTCTTTTTTATTGTAGTATGTGCTGGAGGAACTCAATGTAAAATCCATTGTCCCATGCAATGATCCTTTGAAGTATTCTTCTTTACGTGCTGAGCAAGAATTCAGGTATTGACTGTAATTTTTGTTGCTCAAGTTATTCTGCTATCTCTCTATTCTTGCTTACTTTTTTTTGGGCCATTAGGCTATTATCTTCTAGTGTATTAGGCAAACGTCTTGGAAAATCAATGCCTGTTGTTGCCAAGGAAGTCAAAGCAATGTCACAGGAGGATATTTTAGCTTTCGAGAAGTCTGGAGAAATTACTGTTGCTGCACACAGTTTGAAGCTGACTGACATCAAGGTGCATCGTTTTTCCTGTGTTTATGCAGCTCTATATTTGTTTCTTATCCGTTATTATCAGATAATCAGCTGTTCGTTACATATATAACTGATACCTACTAGATGGGATTGCTCACGGTCCAATTTTACCATTTCTCATGGCCATTAATCACTATACGTACGAGTCAAAGATCACTGGCATTGTTCCATATCCCTTTTTCCCTTCCTACCGTCATCTATACCAATCTACCATTTATTAGCTGCCATGAAAAATATGAAACACTAAAAAAAGGCAATCTTATGGCAAAATATGAATCAGTTCACGACATCAAAGAGAGAATATATTTGAATTGAAATTGTAATTGTAGGAAATGTGAAAAGTAGGACTAATCTGTTATTTTCTGAAAACATTATAAATAAAGATTTGATGAAATAGGCTTCAAATATTAACTATGATTTTACATGTGCTTCTATTTATGCCCAGCTAAAATTAGTGAATGCAACTTTAAATGTTTATGAATGTTTTTCCTTGACGACATACATGATGTGATTGATAATTTAGAAAGAAAATACAGTGATTCATTTATTTAATATCCAAGAAAGTTCTTTTTCTTGAATTTAATTACGTAAGATACTGTTTATCTGGATTATCAAAGAAAAAAATAAGGCTTTGTTTATCTTGCTATATAACTTTAGGCCCTATTTGATTATTGGATATAGAAGGTTTAAAAATAAATTTTTGAAAAAAAAGTTCAATTCGCAAACCGTCCGCACATCCGCGAACCCTATCTGCACAAACCGCAAACTGCATTGCTGGCGGTTGGGAGTTGACTTTTTCCCAAACCGCATAGATGCGGGCGGGTCCAAACCGAACCGCGGACACTCCTATCGTCCATGGTTGTTAAAATGGCGATCCAGATCGTAGGATCGTACGATCCTATTTTGCCAAAACGATCCAGATCATTGTAGGATCGATGTTACAACAGGATCGCATGTAGGATCGTGTAGGATCGCATGGGATCGTGTAGGATCGTATGGGATCGTAGGTAGGATCGCAAGTAGGATCGTAGATTTTATGATTTTTTACCTTATTTTTAATATGTATCATTTTAATTTTAATTTTTATCTTTTTTTTAATAGAAAGTAGGATCTTGCAATCCTCGATCTGATCCTACGATCCGATCCACCAGACCCTCTCACCGATCCTACTTAGGATCCCGATTTTAAGAACCTTGCTATCGTCGAGTATTATATGTTTGTAAAAAATTACGTTGATCGGATATCGATAGTTATCTCATTGGACCAGTTTTTGTCAACCATTAATTTGTTTATCGTTCATTTTTTTAAATACAAAACTGATTTGATCACATAGTTATCGATGGCCGATCAATGTGATTTTTTACAAGTACATATTACTCGACGAGTTTTACACATTGAATGATTCATATTATCAAAACGGGACCTATGATTGGCCTCCATAATCCGAATAGTATCGTCCAATCCGATCTCGGACCGGAGGAGGTAAGCTACAACCGGTGGTAAAATAGCCAAACATGATCAGACAGACAGTAATGGAATGCAAGACCCCCGTGACTTTTGAGAGATGGAAATATTCACATGGGCTTGTATATATATATATATATATATATGGTTTTCTAAAGAAAATTATGGATGGTTTTTCTTGCTAACTTATTGTCTTATAATTTAAATTTTGTATCATTTTAATTCTTAATTTTTTAATTAAGTAATGTTAGAAGCCTGGGAGTCTATCAAAATTTTTTATCAAAGGTTTCATATGTGGGTCCCATATCCATATAAGACGTTTGGTAACAATTTTAATAAAACTTTGGAGATCTCTAACACTTTTGTTTTTAATTATGACACATTTGATCTTGAATTTTGAATCTTGTTTCAAATAAGAACAATTGAAGATATCATTACTCTATTTCAAAAGCAAAATCATCAATTTGATAGAATATAAATTAATTTGATAAAAATAAATGTCAAAAAAAATATTTTTGAATTTTAAAAAATTATTTTTACTCATCAAAGATAAAATTATGTAAAATTAATAAATTTTTTATACGTTTATTTCTTTATTTTTTATTAAATTAATTTTTATTATGTGTTTAGATGATGATTATGTAATTGGTGGTTGTTAGACTTTAACGTCACGTAACAGAAATTTTTAAAAGTCATAAATGCCTCTAGATATTTTATAAGAACGTGTCCAGAGAAAAAATAAAAATACAGAAATTGACGCTTTGAAATCACAATTGCAGACAGCAATAGATAAGCTGATTTTTGTTTTACATCAAAATATCTGGTTTACTGCGATTTTCTCTTGAGATCAAAACAAAATCAACTAAAACACAATGTGATCCGACTGTCATTCGCTAAACTAAAAATTGCCTGACACAAAGCCCATGTTGCTTGGCTATAACACATCCTCGTGATAGAGATGAAGTCCCAAACCAAAACAAGCACAAGCTCGACGAAATGCCATTGCTTCTGCCTTCTGCACTGGATCTCCATAGCCTGCATCGTTTACAGGAGCAGTACCTGTTGACTCCTTATATATCTTATCAAAAACACAAAAACAAAAGTGAAGAGCAACCGAGGTCAGTTCCCTCTCTCACACACACACACATATATATATTTTCCTATTGAGATTCATAAAAAATAAAAAAAAGAAAAGAAACAAGGAGTGAGAGAGAGAATTGGCACATATTAAAAAAAATAGTAATAATAGCAGAGGAGGACCTTCCCGATGTCGCCGCTCCCGATTTGGCGTACGAGGCCAAAGTCCCTGAAACCAAGCCCCACGTTCCGCCGGAACGTCAATGATCGTATGGCTTGCCATGAGGAGTCCGACGATCAGTGTGGCTTTAGCGACAGAGTTTCCGACGACTTCGATCTCAGTTTTAGATTTTCAAAAGACAATCGGCTGAAACTAACGCAACTGTCACTACTACTTATCGAGCTCTGGCTTGAATTTAGGGTTTGAACAAGTTCTAAAAAATGTCAAGAATGGTTGGAAACAGTTGGATTTGAACTTTTTTTCAACACATTTTTGGAATCAAATACGAAGAAAATGCTAGGGATTGCGACAATAGAGAACGAGTGAACAGTAACTCAATGGAGAGAGAGAGACAGACAGAGAGAATAAGTACCCTTCTTGTGGATTCATATCTTTGTTGTTCTTTGTTTAAGATCTGTATATATGTATGTAGGATATTTTGGTCATTTGCCAAATATTTTTTGGCCAAAAAAATTGCTCCACTCACCATTCATAGTCGTGTAATACACGCTCTATTTAAACAAACAATTCCGTCAAAAATTACATTTTGGTATAAAGTATAGGGGCTTAAGTGTCACAAATGAAACTATAGGAGGACTCCGTATTTTTTGGACAAACTACAAGGAGTTAAATTATATTTACCCTAATTTTTAATATTCTACTCAATCAATCTTTAAAGAATGAACGGTTAAAATAATCGGAACACGTTTCCTCAGATGTGAAGATGAGTTCAGCCAAGTCTAATCTATTTTTTATAGTACCTCTGTTTCACCTCCGTTTACTTCCTCTTAAACCCTAGTCGGGCCATCCATACCATTACCAGAACAAAAACCCTAGCCCAGCGTCTGTACTGTGTCTTACAGATTTCTACTCTCTCTCTCTCTCTCTCTCTCCATATTTATTTCAATTCTGACTCGTAGCAAAAATATAGGTGTAGAAGATCCAATCAAGTCTCTTATTTGCTTCACAATTCAATATTATATACAGTGAATCTTATGATTTGATAGAGCATTGCATAGAGTAAACGAAAACACACACACACACACATATATATATATATATATATATATTTTCGAGTGTTTGTTCTCGAGATGGAAGCTAATCTGTCGAATTCGCCATCAAATTTTATACTTGGAATTATATTTTTGAGGTTGGATTATAATATAATTCCAAGTATAAAACTGGATGGCGAATTCGACAGATTAGCTTCTATCTCGAGAACAAACACTCGAATATATATATATATATATATATGGGTTTTGGTTTACTCTATGCAATGCTCTATCAAATCATAAGATTCACTGTATATAATATTGAATTGTGAAGCAAAGAAGAGACTTGATTGGATCTTCTACAGCTATATTTTTGCTACGAGTCGGAATTGAAATAAATATGGAGAGAGAGAGAGAGTAGAAATTTGTAAGACACAGTACAGATGCTGGGCTAGGGTTTTTGTTCTGGTAATGGTATGGATGCCCCGGCTAGGGTTTAAGAGGAAGTAAACGGAGGTGAAACAGAGGGTACTATAAGAAATAGATTAGACTTAGCTGAGCTCATCTTCACATCTGAGGAAACGTGTTCCGATTATTTTAACCGTTTATTCTTTAAAGATTGATTGGGTAGAATATTAAAAATTAGGGTAAATATAATTTAACTCCTTGTAGTTTGTCCAAAAAATACGGAGTCCTCCTATAGTTTCATTTGTGACACTTAAATCCCTATACTTTATACCAAAATGTAATTTTTGACGGAACTATTTGTTTAAACAGAGCGTGTATTACACGACTATGAATGGTGAGTGGAGCAATTTTTTCTGCCAAAAAATATATGGCAAATGACCAAAATATCCTACATATATATATATATATATACAGATCTTAAACAAAGAACAACAAAAATATGAATCCACAAGAAGGGTACTTATTCTCTCTCTCTCTCTCTCTCTCTCTCTCTCTCTCCTCTCTCTATTGAGTTACTGTTCACTCGTTCTCTGTTGTCGCAATCCCTAGCATTTTCTTCATATTTGATTCCAAAAATGTGTTGAAAAAAAGTTCAAATCCAACTATTTCAAACCATTCTTGGCATTTTTGAGAACTTGTTCAAACCCTAAATTCAAGCCAGAGCTCGATGAGTAGCAGTGACAATTGCGTTAGTTTCAGTCGATTGTCCTTTGAAAATCTAAAACTGAGATCGAAGTCGTCGGAGACTCTGTCGCTAAAGCCA